TCTATCTATCTATCTATCTATCTATCTATCTATCTATCTATCTATCTATCTATCTATCTATCTATCTATCTATCTATCTATCTATCTATCTATCTATCTATCTATCTATCTATCTATCTATCTATCTATCTATCACTCTATCTATTTATCTAACTATCTATCTCTCTATCTATCAATTTTTCTATCTGTCTATCTACCTATCTATCTATCTATCTATCTATCTATCTATCTATCTATCTATCTATCTATCTATCTATCTATCTATCTATCTATCTATCTATCTATCTATCTATCTATCTATCTATCTATCTATCTATCTATCTATCTATCTATCTATCTATCTATCTATCTATCTATCTATCTATCTATCTATCTATCTATCTATCTATCTATCTATCTATCTATCTATCTATCTATTTATCTATCTATCTATCTATCTATCTATCTATCTATCTATCTATCTATCTATCTATCTATCTATATATCTATCTATCTATCTATCTATCTATCTATCTATCTATCTATCTATCTATCTATCTTTCTATCTATCTATCTATCTATCTATCTATCTATCTATCTATCTATCTATCTATCTATCTATCTATCTATCTATCTATCTATCTCTCTATCTATCTATCTATCTATCTATCTATCTATCTATCTATCTATCTATCTATCTATCTATCTATCTATCTATCTATCTATCTATCTATCTATCTATCTATCTATCTATCTATCTATCTATCTATCTATCTATCTATCTATCTATCTATCTATCTATCTATCTATCTATCTCTCTATCCATCTATCTATCTATCTATCTATCTATCTATCTATCTATCTATCTATCTATCTATCTATCTATCTATCTATCTATCTATCTATCTATCTATCTATCTATCTATCTATCTATCTATCTATCTATCTATCTATTATCTCTCTATCCATCCATCTATTTATCTATCTATCAATCGATCTATCTAACTATCTATCTATCTATCTATCTATCTATCTATCTATCTATCTATCTATCTATCTATCTATCTATCTATCTATCTATCTATCTATCTATCTATCTATCTATCTATCTATCTATCTATCTATCTATCTATCTATCCATCTCTCTGTCTATATACCACACAATTTTTCTGCGGTCTCAATGTTTATCTCTCTATCTATCTATATCTTGTTTTATTTTTATGCCTGTCTATCTATCTCTCTATCTTTTTATCACTCTGTCGCTTCATCTTTCTCTCCATCCATCTATCTTTCTATCTTTCTATTTCTCACTCTCTACCTATCTGTCGATCTATCTGTCTAACTTACTCTCTATCTCTATATCTATCTCTCTGTCTCCCTCTATTTATATCTGTATATCTCTCTTTCTATCTGTCTATTTCTTTATCTTTCTTTCTTTCTATTTTTCTTCCACTCTATCTTTCTATCTATCAATCTTTCTTTTTCTCTGTCTCTCTTTCGATCTATCTTTCTGTTTTTTTCCGCCTATCTTTTGAAATTTATATTTTTGAAGTATCTCTGCATATCCCTCTTTTGATGTTCTGTCTTATTACCTCTTGGTAAAACTTCATATCTCACTATCTTTATATATATATATATATATATATATATATATATATATATATATATATATATATATATATATATATATATATATATATAAATGGCCATATCTATCTTTCACCTATATTTTCAATCATCTCTCTACAATCTTCCTATTTTTGTGTCTAACCATGTTTCTTGTTGTCTATTTAAACATCTTTTGATTTATTTTCCGTTCATCTCTCTATATATCTTTACAAATGGCCCACTGGTTACCAAACCAGGATGCATTACGGAACATTGGTAGAACCGTCGCGCTGCTGACCTAGTAATGTGCAAATGGACAGCGCGATATTCGACGTCATCTTCAAAGACATTTGATTTTGAAACTTGCATCCGTGATGGCTCCACAATCCACCGGCTATATCAAAGGTAAACACTTGATGCTGTAAACTTATTCAGTAAATGGATAGATAAGTGCACTCGTATAGGATATGCAGCCCCTTGTGGAACACAAATTGATGAATCGCTCTAAAATTAGGCAGTTTTCGCTGAATAAATTCTGGTCTGATAGACATGAAATTATCACCATCTGAACACGGTGACTTCCACTTTGTTTACCATATCTTCGATTACATCTCATCGAATTTTGCAATCCAACTCATCTGACGTAATGAGTTTAGTGACTGCAAATTCGCCAAAATGGGTTTCTTCGGAAATTTTCTTTTTGCGCCCGAAATATTCCTGAGCCCCCACATTCTAACTACAGAACAGTCAAATCGAATCAGAGGGCAAAACGACGTCCGAAATGATTCTGATATTTTCGCGGCCGAAATATTTTCTCCCTTCAGCTGTTCGTACAGTGCTGGTTTTCGAACAGCTAAGGCTAACGCATCCAACGTCCATTCACACTAGTCTGAAAGGGCAAATGGGATGTTTCTAAACAAATCTTCTCCCGGATCAAATACTTATAACTCTGTTGGTGTTATTTGCATCTCCGTGCAGTTGACTCTGGTCAGATTCATTCATTTCTGCACAGCTCGTCTTGGTACACGACCACTCTGACATGAATATTGTGAAAAACGTACTGTCAATCTCAAAAGAGAAAGGAGATTTGCATCTTAGTATCAAGCGTTCGACAGGTTCGCACAACGTTGTTTCTCTGCTTTTCAATGAAGTATCGGTATTTTCCGGTTTTCACAAAATGTTTTTCAACGGCGCGGTAGACAAAATGTTTATTTGCTGGTCCGAGCTCATTCGAACATGAAATTCAGGTTAGCGCTAATATGAATTCCAGTTTTCTTGCGGTAAACATAATAATTACCGCGTTTTCTGCATAACTGCTAAACAAAATAGTATTCAACAGTTATATTCGCCTCCTCTCGGCTTATATCTTGAAGGCAGATTGATTTCTGAGTGCGAAAAATCGCCTATGATATCTGCTCAACAAAAAGTCATATTTACCAATGAATCAATGTTTCACCTATGAACTTCAGACAAAGGTATCACGGTGACTAGAAGTCACACAAATTTTTACGTCAACGGATCGCAACATAACTGATCCGACTGACATGAATCTCAATGGAGTTTTATATTCCATCCTTGTGTTTTGATATGCTACGAAACGTTTTGGAAAATAGATAAGCGTTCAGGGGGACATGACTGTTACGTGCTGTATAAACAAAAATTTCACTTTTCTCAGTTTGTCATCAGTCATACTACCGACTGTTGTTTTTAGATTGTTTAGTGATTTGAGAGACCAAAGGTGAAGTGAATGGTTCACGCGGTAAAAGACCTACCAGTTTTTATGAAACTATGGATGATAACTTTGGAGCCACGTCAACCGCGGGAGAGGGCACTCGACAATTTGGTTGCAAATAGCACAATGATGTGGGTGCATTCAAAGCCTTTCTGCAAAAATGAATCCTTTACTTGATATTTAGTCTTAGTATCAGCGAATGTTCTCCTGTAGACAAACGTGCTAATCGATGTTCGCCTAATTGGGCCTTGCGGTTCATTCACAACTGGCATAAAAATTAAGTTTGATCCTTTTTAACCATGGGCCAGTGATGCAGTGTTGCTTTTGGTGCAAACAACTGCGACATGCAAAGTCCTAAAACGAAATGCCATTCCATCTCTATACTACTCATTTTGTTTGCTCGTTTTTTCACTAAAATACCATTCGTGAGCGATGTTTTTCAGGTTGGTTGCCAACCCAACTTACTTCAAATCGATCGGATCTAATTCATGAAACCGAGACCTAATACGAAGCCTCGACTATGAAATGACCTCATCGTGTGCTTCTCGATGGGGTTTTATGGATTGAATGCCAAGCGGTAGAAGTACACGTTGTTCCATGGAAGAAATTGCACTTTGAAATATGCTAACGCACACCTATCTATCACTGATATGCTGAACTTGAAGTTTAAGAAGTGAGTCGAAGAAACGTTCGATCTTTTATTACTCTCAGCTCTCTCAAACAATGGTAAATAGAGTTAGCTTAGCGGATGCGACCTATGATTTATTTTGGAGCAAAAATTATGATTTACGGGTGCGTTTATCAGTATGAAAAAATGATTGAACAACTGAAGAGATGTTTTTATGGAATAAATTTCTTGCACATACAGGAAATTTCGGTGTTGATTGTATAGTGAATTGCTTTACATCACGCACCTATGGTACACCAGTTATAAAAGATGATATCATGAGAACAGCCATCAGTAAGTGAATGAGGGAAGGAATTTCGTGTTTATGATAAAAGATAAGAAAACCAATGATTAAAATTGGGATAATTTGATTCCTTTTGTTTGTGATGCCACGACTACATGATTCTGTTGTGACGTTTTGTTGTTTCGACCGGTCTTATTGTGGGGAACAATGAAAGAATGCTCGATGTTGGCGGGGTTTCACAGAGAATTAGGCGAGCGCAAAATTCAAAGGTTACACATGCGTCGCCATCACCAAATCTGAATAGGCTGTCTTTCTAACAGGCAACAAGACATACAACAAGTTTCGTTGGTTTCCTGAGTTCCGTAATAAAACGTGAAGTGTCGTAGTCTCCGAAATGCCGAGGCATAGAAAAACTTGAAATCAGAAGCTAACAACACAGGTCATAGATTGATAAGTACACTGTGGTTGCTGGTATGAACAGGTTCAGACTGAATGCTCATCAAATAATGGTTTTCCGGATTTTTTGAGGAATTCAGTGTATGAAAAACAATGCCACACCATCAGTGCGAGATGGACGATTGTATCATCATTGGAATTCCGTTTGATTTCTTGCTTTTCCGCTATAACTAGTCATTGTTTGAGGGACGAGCGCACATTTTGTACTAACAACCCAATCAAAAGGAGCTAGTTGAGGTTTTCTTTTCCGAACTTGCCATTAGCATGCCGTTAGTGGATAATAATTCTGGCTTTCCTGAATTTGATAGAAATACTTGTTGCATAACCTTATAAAATATGACGTATCCAATTCACGAAGGGATCCCATTTGTACCTTTAACTGCCATTGTCAGCGACTTTGTATCCACTGTAATTATTTCCGTGTTATTAGCAATTTCGCCTGCTGGCAAATAATGAAAAAGTTAAAAAAAGTAATGGCAACGTAAGAAAAGTTAACTTTACTTCAAAGAATGATCAGCTCCTTTTTTTCCACGTACCGGAATCTCCTAATTTGCATGAGACGATATTTTTGTGATAGTTACTCCACTCTGTAGAAGAATGACATATTGATCGGAGAGTGACGAGTTTCATATTGGTGAGATCATTTTCGTCTGCATATCAGTGTTTGGCATTTGTATGAGTTTGATTCATTGCGCCTCTATGACGATAGAGCATTGAACAAATGCAAACCAATAAACATTCCAAATCTCGATAGATCACCTACCGTACATTATTGTGCCACGGACTAGTTTTGTTTGACATTTGAAAATGCTTTCCCCGATATAGTCCATTTCATTGGTCGTCGCGTAATTTGGAGATAATAGAACTGCTTTTATATATTCCGCTGGCGGACATCCTAATGTGTACGTTATAAAATTTATTTTCTTTCCGATTTCCTTGGGCACGCTATGGAAACATGTGTGCAACTGGGTTTTTCGTAACAAAATAGAGAAAGGTGTGTTTGTCTGGGGATATGTTTTTTATGGTTTGATCGAAAAATAAAGCGTGAACTGGATTTTCACTGAAAAGAATTAGAGAGTTGCGTACCTCTTTCTGAGTCTTGAACCACTCAAGGAAATATTCAGGTAAGCATCCGTCTGATGATGGACTTGAGCGATATTCGTAAGTAGTAAACCAAACTTTATCCCGTAAATCGAGCGAAAATCATAAATTATAAGAAAACCACATGAACAAGAGTGGTGAAGAAATGATAATGTTCCACGTAAAATCATAATACGCATATTCAGAGGTAACACAACTCACGGCTGATTTTCCTTTCAATGGAAACTCCTGGTGTTCAAATGTAGGAAACAAGAATCAGTTTTTACATGATGAGAAGTCATAATTGTAATGTATTTTCATCTATATATTGTTAGCTAATAACCATAAAATGTAATGGAAGGAAGTCATATTGTTTTTCCATACTCAGTTCCTATTGCTGAACTTAAATGAAATATGGCTAACAGATTTATTTTGAATAGTCTAGTAACAATTTGACATGTAGACGTAAGTTGGACGTGTTGAACTAAATAAAACTGATTCCTGATATCATGAACTGAAGATACCTGTAACCTTCATAAAGTTGAACCGTTCCACGTTTGAAATTGCCAGATATTTGTGAAACGCTGCATTCAACTCTGCTACTTCTCGTTGTTTACACTCATTGCTCATCGTCCGACTGATATTAACGGAGAAAAAGTACAAGTGATAGGTTCCGTTCCAACTGTTTTGTAAATCTGGCTCACAACCCAAGTAGTTATTGGCCAATCTATAACTCATTCCCCGTATACAAAGTGTAACCTGAAGCAGATAGTTAGGGATAAACCGCATAGCAAAAGAAACACTAACGACTTGACAAATAGAACTCCCTTCAGGATTTCGAATAGCAGTCCTCAGAGATCTGATGTTCACTCCCAAGCTCATGTTTGATCGCGGATTTATAGAGTTTATTTCAAATTCTTGTGTTTGAATGGATCCGATTGGCAATTGAAAACGAGGGATGAGAGCATTTTTCAATTTTATTGAATAAATTCTTAGACAGACACAAGTAGTTAAGTCATTTCGTGTTTGTTCGCTGCGTGAATGAGTACTGATTTGAAATCGGTGTGTGCTGCGTTTTCAAACATGAAACAGCAATATTCTTGATGCAACAAAACACGAATATGATATCCAATCAAGAAGTGAATCAGTTATTTCAGATGTCGTTTAAACACTCACTCAGTATGTCTACTTCACCTGAAACTGTGGAATCAAAGCAGTATTGCATAAGAGATTTACCATTCTAAGTGGCTGAACTGATTTCCTTGTGTAAATTCTGTCTGGGAATGAAAACAAACTCACTTGTTGTTGTAAATGTACCATCCACAGTTACTATCGTGAAGCTGACAATAACGAGGGTAAACGAAATGATCAACATGATGTTGCCAAGCTGAGGGATGACCAAATGCATGGCACTTATATATAAGGTATGCTGATAAGCAAAGCGACCGAGTTCTTAGCCAATCAATAAGTGATACTAATCTGCCAGTGATTGGAATGCACGCACATTCTACTACAAATACCGGGTTGATTCGAGGAGTCCAACTGTAAAATAACTTTACTCTTGTCATGATCTGAAACTTTCACCGAAATTAATCCCATATGGTACCGACTGGCTGGCAAATTTGATTTTCATGACACTACTCTTCGCCTTCTAATGTGAAATAGAAAATAAATGTTTCCAGCCGTTCCTAATGCTGCTGTGTATGGAATAAAAGTAGGACACCACGCAAGGAAGAATTGCGTAAAATCTGTCAAGGCCTAGCTGACGAGATGCCGCCTAAAGCACACAAATAATTATCCAAATTTAATAGAGGCTAGAGCACATTTAAGCTTCCGCTGATTATAGCCAGTGCAAAGTAAAGTCACGCATACTACGCGTACAACCAATATCTCTCTTGCCCATGGACCCAAGTCTGCTCGAGATTGATGTTCATTCATGATTTAGCATGGATAGTACTGACTCAGTGATCTGGAAATGTGCCGACTAGTGTTATTTGCTAATCGTGAAAGCACACTTAGCTCAGATCTTTTACTTGCTTGCACATTCAACTACTTTCTCGCTTGAGGGCTCGAGACCTACGCACCAGCTGTTGTCGGGTTTTATTGGCATCCCTAAAAATAAATTCAGTGCAACGATTGGGTGTTCTGCTGCTAACGATTAGGAGAATAACAACCATGATGAGAGAGGTAGACAGTAAAAGACATGCATATACAAAAGGCAGATTTACAGAAGTTGATTTCTAGACACGTGAATCAACTAATGTTAACTGCATCCTATCTGGTAGTCAATTATGCAAATTTTTGCAGGTTTGAGTATCATTCGTCATTTAGCAAGTTTAGTAAAAGTTCCTCGTTCATAGTGGATGAGGCATAAATGTGCCAAAATCATTTGTCTGGTACTTGATTATATTTTGTATTTTGCGAGGCGACACAAGTGGCATTGCGATCGGATAGAAACCAATCTGTAGTTCGTATTGGCATGTGTATAAAACCGTAAAAGACAAATCATTAAAACAGACAATTATCCATATTTATTTGAGGTTAGAGCACATTTACGCTTCTACTGATTATAGTCAAAGCAATTTACATTGCGAAACCCTATGGACATTTGTGATTGCCATACATGACTGCCACTCTGAACCGTGCACTGCCCAAACTGGATGAGGCCACACGGGTTGAAATTTGCGCGGACCAAATTTTCGGACAGTCAGCTGGAGCCCTTGTAAGGGATGAAACGGGTCGTCTGTCCCATGGATGTTTTTCAGCTGGCTCACGCGGCTAGTGCAATGAATATTCTTGACGTGCCTTTGGTAAGTACAGTTCATGTCCAGGATTCAAGGATCGACAATAAACTGCAACTTATAAAAAGCTCATGAGCTTCATTGCCACTTTAGGTAAGTGAGAATTCTAAGCTTCTTAAGTTCTATTCAGCTAGTGAAGAGATTTATGTAAATAATGATCCTACTAAGTAGATATGATTTCCATATTTTGAATATGTGGTAAGCAAAGTTGAAAGCCATGGCAAAATCAATGGCGCCTTTCAAATGACTTGAAAAGTCTGAAATAACACTGTAGAAACCCGATATTTTCAACGCTGATAAATCTGTCTTGTGTAGTTATGCTTTTCACGAACGAAGATTGGAAGCTTGTCAGGCTTGGGTTTCTGCATTGTTTTTATATACGAGGTGACATAACTTTTGCTTCATTTTTTTTCAAAAAACTTTCCTTCCACTCGTTATCGAAGCATATGCGACTTCCTCCGCTTATTCCGGGATTCACATAGGAATTTTCTGCAGAGAAAATACTTCAGTTGACGAAAACCGAGACTGTTCATTGATGTGACTGTTTTGGGTGAATTTAAACAACCGGATGCATAGTTGTGAGCGGAAAGCTCTGCTGAATGTGAATAGCGCGAATTATCATCGTGTAAGTGTCCGTATTATTTTGTTGAATATCTTTCTACCTCCCAGATGCATGTCGCTCATACTGCTTAGGAATCAAAATTCGCAATTATGTATTGTTCTCTCTATCTGTTGGATATGCTGTTACCAATTAGATATTTATTCTCATCTTTTGTCCTCAACCACGTCAAAATAATTAACATTTTAGTGGACAATATCCCCGCTTTTGTACTTCTGTTCTTTACAGGAAAAATATCATAGAGGCTGTTTATTTGAATTGCCCCAACGGTATGCCGATTTGTGTCTTTCTGCATCAAATTCGGATATATTGGCCTCTGGACTGAAATAATGGTCCGGCGTTGGATACGTCCCGTTACCCCACCCGACAGCGGTAGATCGCCGCAGATTTCGACTTGAGCTTAGTAGTGCCGTGTATGGTCCCAATCCGTCTTGGGTTTGGAACAGTTTTGTTTTGGTCTTTGCCCGTTATTTTATCCGAAAAGCAGAAGGAGCTATGAAGGCTTGAAATTTATCAAGAACAGTCGTCGTTTGTCAATAAAAACGTGAACCCCAAAACAGTGTTCATAGTACACTGCGTTGCGCAGGATTATTTATTAAAGAAGGAAGTTCGAATTCGGAATTCGGAGATGAATTCTCCAATTTGCCAACTTAAGGATACAGCCTCTGCGCACATCGTATGAAGACAGAATCAACAGTGGAATAATTTCAGGAACGGGAGATAACAAAATATCTTGAGCAAAGACCAGGACGGGAGCGATAAACAGAGGAATACAGTATTTTTACATTTACGGTAAATTAGATAAACATTGTGTGTACTGAATGGAGGGTGAATTTTCAGCTAGGTTAGTGGATGAATAGGTGCGCGTAGATTGTTCGAGGCTTGTTGGAATGTAGCTATTACCAAGAAAGAAATGCAACTAAATATAAATTCAACAACATTCATTTTATTTTGCAGTCACAACAAGTTGCCCAAGCTCAGATATATCGTTTTAGTTCAAATATCCAGTCGGAGCATTTAATTTCATTGCCTGAGAGGAGAAACTAGTTGGTGTAATTTATTCGAGGAATTCAACGTATTCTCCACAGATTCGATGTAATAAAATAAACTGGACAATACAAGTATCCGACTGCACAGACAACGTGAAATTTTCTCTTTGCGACAACAGACGTATCAGCCTACATATATATTCAACCCGTTTGGCTACTAGCATTGACGACAATTCAAATGTTTGTTCATTTAGGTGAGCATATTTTGAGAGAAAACCTCAACAATCTTGAGGGCCGTTTTGTTAGTGAGTCATCTAACAAAAATCGACTAAATCCTGTATCAAATTGCCAGACAAATGCAGATCTTTGTGAAATAAAAACGGGAAATCCCCCTCCAGATAAAAATAAAAGATTGCATTTAAACTCAGAAAAACCTACTCATGTGTCCAATTTCGGTTGTGTTCGCTCTCACCACCAGTAATGCAAACTTGTGTGGTGTGATTGGACGAGACACTTCATGCAAAGTCCTCTGCTACAGATATTTAAAACTAACTTAGTCGTATCGATTACCTGTGCGTATAAGGATGTGAACAATTCAGATCTGCAACTTTGTAGTGATACAATGTAAACATTTTTGTATTGTCTGAACCCACACAATGTGTGTGAGAGCTAGAGTGATATCTATCTGCACGCATGTTGGTATGTGTGTGATGGTATGTAGAACTGTGTTGATTTGTTGTTTTGCACGGGAACAGCATTGAAATACATGGTAATGTGGGTCACCGAGTCTGAGTATGCACCTATGCACGAGGGGGCGGTGGTGTTTTGCCGTTATATCAATTGAATCGGTCGATAGATTCTGTCGCACAAATTCTTTCGCCTGTTACGTATAATCTTTTCCATGAGCGGAATGTATGTTGACAAAATATGCAAACATTCCAGTATGGTTCCAAAGTGAATCGACATTTATCGTTGTCTCATTGTAAAATAGGAGAAAAAATTATTTACGGCATCCCATGACTCGTCATGTCAAATGGAAATGCGATGAAGAATATAGAGTGCTATTATTCAACAGCGTCACAGGGCTTTCTGGTGAAGAAAAAACCCTTTCAGATGATGTTTGTTGAT